AAAAACAAAAATCGCATGATGATCTCACTAGATGCTGAAAAAGCCTTTGACAAAATCCAACACCCATTCATGATAAAGGTCTTGGAGAGATCTGGGATAACAGGGACATACTTAAACATAATAAAAGCCATATACAGTAAACCAACAGCCAACATCAAACTAAATGGACAGAAACTCAACGCAATTCCTCTAAAATCAGGAACAAAACAAGGCTGTCCACTCTCTCCATACCTTTTCAACATGGTACTTGAAGTTCTAGCTACTGCCATACGACAACAAAGGGGGATCAAGGGGATACAAATTGGGAAGGAAGAGGTCAAACTTTCACTGTTTGCAGACGATATGATAGTTTATATCAATGACCCAAAGAACTCTACCAGGGAACTCTTACAGCTGATTAACACCTTCAGCAAAGTGGCAGGCTACAAGATCAACTCAAGAAAGTCAGTAGCCCTATTATATACAGATGATAAAAGGGCTGAAAGAGAAATCAGAGAAACATCACCCTTTACAATTGCCACAAACAACATAAAATACCTTGGGGTAACGCTAACCAAACAAGTGAAAGACCTGTATCATAAGAACTTTGAATCTTTAAAGAAAGAAATTAAAGAAGCCCTCAGAAAATGGAAAGATCTCCCATGCTCTTGGATAGGTAGGATCAATGTAGTAAAAATGGCAATCCTGCCAAAAGCAATCTACAGATTCAATGCTATCCCCATTAAAATCCCAGCACAATTCTTCACAGACCTTGAAAGAACAATAATCAATTTTGTATGGAACAACAAAAGACCCAGGATAGCCAAAACAACCCTGTTCAACAAGGCAACGTCCGGAGGCATCACCATCCCTGACCTCAAGCTCTATTATAGAGCTATAGTCCTGAAAACAGCTTGGTATTGGCACAAAAATAGACAGGTAGATCAATGGAATCGAATTGAAAATCCGGGTATTAACCCCCACACATACGAACATCTGATCTTTGACAAAGAAGTTAAAAATATACAATGGAATAAAGAAAGCATCTTCAACAAATGGTGCTGGCATAATTGGAGACTGGCATGTAGAAGAATGCGGGTTGATCCATGTTTATCGCCATGCACAAAACTTAAGTCCAAATGGATTAAAGACCTCAACATAAATCCAGCCACACTGAACCTCATAGAAGAGAAAGTGGGTGGTACCCTTGAATGAATTGGTACAGGAGACAGCTTCCTGAACATAACACCAGTAGCACAGACAGTGAGATCAACAATTAATAAATGGGACCTACTGAAACTGAGAAGCTTCTGTAAGGCAAAGGACACAGTCAGCAAGACAAAAAGGCAGCCCACAGAATGGGAAAAATATTCACTAATCCCACATCTGACAGAGGGTTGATCTCCAAAATTTACAAAGAACTCAAGAAGCAAGTCTCCAAAACATCAAAGGACCCAATTAAAAAGTGGGCTGCAGAACTAAGTAGAGAGTTTTCAATAGAGGAGTCTAAAATGGCTGAGAGGCACTTGAGAAAGTGCTCAGCATCCTTAGCCATCCGGGAAATGCAAATCAAAACAACTCTGAGATACCATCTCACTCCTGTCAGAATGGCTAAAATGAAAAACACCAATGACAATTTATGCTGGAGAGGATGTGGTGAAAGGGGGACACTCCTCCATTGCTGGTGGGAGTGCCAACTGGTTCAGCCACTTTGGAAAGCAGTATGGAGATTCCTCAGAAAAATGGGAATAAACCTACCACAAGACCCAGCAACTGCACTCTTAGGCATATATCCAAAAGATGCCCATTCATACAACAAAGATGTCTGTTCCACTATGTTCATAGCAGCTTTATTTGTAATAGCCAGAACTTGGAAGCAACCTAGATGTCCCTCACCGGAAGAGTGGATAGAGAAAATGTGGTACATCTACACAATGGAGTACTATTCAGCAGAAAAGAATAATGGAATTATGAGATTCACAGGCAAATGGATGACACTAGAAGAAACCATCCTGAGTGAGGTAACCCAGTCACAAAAAGAGAAACATGGCATGTGCTCTCTCATATATGGATTTTAGACATAGATCTGGGGAGTGCCAGCCTACAATCCTATGGCCAGAGGGTCTGGGAAACAGAAACTTTATTTAGTGGCTGATCGAAGAAGAGGCAGACTCCCTTGGTTAAGTACTGAGCATCAGCCTGGGAATCCAGCATGGGACTGATCAAGACCACCTGAATCTGGGTGTCAGAGAGGAGGCCTAGGTAATCTATTGAGCCTTGGGCAACAGATCAGTACCCATCCCTAGTATACACAGGGACTTTGGACTCCCATAGAACAATGTGAGGTGCACTCTCACCCTGAACTCTTGGGGAAGGGTCTAGGCCCTGCCCTATATGAAATGACAGACTATGGACACCCCCATGGAGGGCCCCACACTCCCTGGGGGAATGAGGGGATAACGGGGGGGGGGATGGGGGGAGGGCACGGGAGGAGGGGAGGGAAAGGGAGAGGGGCCTGGAACTGACTTGTGAAGCAACCTTGTTTCTTATCTAAATTTAAAAAAAAAGAATAAAAAAAATGGCTATAGAAAAAAAAAACTAAAAAAAAAAAGAAAAGAAAAAGTTCAGTGACAGGGTTGAATGCCCTTTTCTTCAAGAACACCAATGGTCACCTGATAACAAGAAGATAACTTGGATTCTTTACAACTGGAAAGGTATGTCGTTTAGCTTCAGAACAGTGGAGAAACCTCTTCTGAGTAAGTGTTCACTTTTTTCTTTCAGAGCCCTTCAGCCAGCTATACGACCCAGAGACTTATGATCCCAAGTATATGATCTATCCTAACACAGATTCAGAAAAATACTGAAGGAGCAGTGATGTACCCATGTTCACATTGTTAACTGATGGAATCATATTTTGCCCCAGAAACATGCTCAATAAAATTTGAAAGTTAAAAAAAAAAAGACACAGAAAACAGATGTCAAACATACATGCTGTACAGAAACAGGCTGCAAATGCCAAACTTACAGAGGAACAAAAAGTTCTACCCTTAAAATGGATAAGAGATAAACATATCTGTTTAGGTCAATGGCCTATTGTCCCTGAGAAGTTAGAGGCTTTGGAAACGTAGTTCAGGAACTGCTAAATGTTGGACATACAGAAGAATCAAACAGTCCATGGAATTCACCTGTATTTGTTTTCAAAAAGTCTTGGAATTGGAAGGTGGATACTTATATGAAAACTATCATCCTGGTAATTCAGCCTATGGGCTTTCAACATCCTGGGTTGCAACTACCTTTTCTAATACCTAAGGATTGGGCAATTGTAGTTATAGATTGAAAAGATTGCTTCTTCATTATATCACTACAAGAAAAACAGAGAAATGTTCTCCTTCACAGTACCTAACTATGAGAATTCTCAACCAGTACAACAATTTCAGTGGAAGGTGTTGTCACAATAATTTTTAAATAGTCCGACTTTATGCCAGTATTTTGTGCAAAACCTTTGGAAATCGTTTATAAACAAGTTCCATCATCATAAATATATCATTATATATACGAAATATTAATGTCTGCTTCAAATAAAGGTACTTTGGAGAAGATGTTTGAAGCAGTAAAGTAAACTTTGACTCACCAGGGATTAAAAATTGCTACAGAAAAAAATATAATGAGGAAATACCAGTAATTATTTAGGGTATGAAATGGACTCACAGAAAATTAGACTGCAGAAAGCTCAGATCAGAAAAGATCGTTACGAGACTCTTTTTTTTTTTTTTTGGTTTTTACGAGACAGGCTTTCTCTGTATTGTTTCGGAGGCTATCGGTCCAGCCCGGCCTCGAACTCACAGAGATCCGCCTGCCTCTGCCTCCCGAGTGCTGGGATTAAAGGCATGCACCACCACCGCCCGGCTGTTATGAGACTCTTAATGATCTTCAAAAACTACTTGGAGAAATCTCTCAGCAACAGACAATTTTCAGAGAATTACATGATTTAAAACACTTGAATATGGCCTTAAAATTAGACAAAGACCTAAATAGTTGATGAATACTATCTGCTGAGGATGAAAAAGATTTAGAATATGTGATAAACAGAATATTAGAAACATATTTGAACCATGTGGACCCAAAGCTATACTGCATTCTGGTTATTTTACCATCTAGAAAATACCACACAGAAATATTAATACACGGCGAGGATAGCATAATGAATGGATGTTCCATCCACACAAACAGAATTAAAAATTGATAATGTATAAGTATAGGATTTCTGATTTGATATTTAAAAATAAGTTAAGGCTTTTTCAACTAATTGGAAGAGACCCAGAAAAATTATTGTACATTTAAATAATGATGAAATTTCCTCCTAATGCAAGGATAATGAATATAGGCTAATGGCTTGTAGTAACTTTTTGGGAACAATTGGTAACAATATTCCCAAAACAGAGATAATCAAAATAATAAAGAAACAATTTGGATTCTTCAGCATATTTTGAGAAAAACGCCTATTTCTGGAGTTCTATCATTTTACACTGATGCAAAAACAATCAGGTAAGGCAAATAATAAATCACAAAATATAAGTAATGTAGTTCAAAGCTCTTACAACTCTGTATAAAGGGCAGAGCTGTACATCATTCTCATTGTACTTAAAACTTTACAGAGCCTCTCAATTTAGTTACTTATTCTCAGTATGCAGAGAGTTGTCTTACACATCAAGACTGCAGAATTTTTTCATGATGGTACAGAATTAACCTCATTGTTCTCCAATTACAGGAAACCATCAAAAATGAAACTCAACTAACATATAAATATATATTATATATATTTATGACATATATATGACACATCAGATCCCATATTTACCTTGGTTGCCAGTTTTCTCTTGTAATTACTTGCCACAATAAATATTTATCTATACCCTCATCAACTGTGCTGCTTATCTTTACAGTAAGCTGTCATCCTACAAAAGGGAAAATTACTAGTCACATTCGGGAAACATCACTGCTGCCAAGATGACCACGTATCTGGACCTCAGATTGACATTTGTATGAGTTAATGACCATCCTCAGATACTTCTTCTCATCAATGATTCAGGCAAGCCCTCTCTTAACACATGAAACTTTCCAATGCTACAGGAAAGCTTGAATAGCTACTCACTTTGACTTTGAAATGGATGGTAAGGACTGTGCAGCTGGCTTGTTGCTCATGTTCTGATCAGACTTACTGAACCACATATAGAATGGTCTCCTTCCTCGTAAACTTAAACATATCGAAAATTATCAATGTTCAATTTGCCAGAATTAATTATAAAAAAGACAAAAAATTCCCTGAGCTTTTGATGGGCTCAATTTATGAACAGAAGTGTGCTTTCCGTGAAAAGTGGATAAAGTACTAAGAAAAAACACCAAAAATGACAAAGGACATCCTCTATAAATTTTAAGAGGCATTCCATCTTTTTGTATTTTACAAAAATATATTTATCACGATATGCTTACTACATGTTTCTTCCTCCTCCTCCTGATCTCCCCTGTGATTTCATCCTCATCTCCCATACATAACCAATGAATATGTCCTGTGCTTCACAATGCAGTACAGATTTTCTATTTTGTCAGGTAACAGTCAAAACTTTGTAGAATCATGCAGTGTGTACTCAAATGCCATCACTTAGTGGGTGTTTATATGATAAGTAGTGCCTACAGTAATATCAGAAGCATTTTAAGTGCAGGCCTTTTGGTGTGTGTGTTTCTGTCTGGATGAGGTCTTTCTATGCTACACTACCATGTTCAATACTCTTCTAAATTTCCAAAAGTTCAATTGTAAGTCTTCCTAAAAAGAAAACGTTATTTTTTGACATTATTTCTTACAAATATGTTTGATCATGGGCTTCCTGATGTTAACCTCATGCTCAAATTTTGTGAAAAAGTGTAGTAAAAGGTTATCACATGGCTTAAATACAAGTTTTAAATGCTTTCTCATAAAAAAGGCAAAGAATTCACAAGTCATAATAAGGAGGTATCTATACAACAGAATAAGTTTCAAAGCCTGCCACCTCTGCCTGAAAGGGGAAAGGTATTTGCAATTCCAACCTGCAGCAAAATATAAATGAAAAAATGTCACGGATGGAACTGTGTCCTGACTGCTAAATCTAGCATGAAGTGGTAGAGGAGGTGGTTCTCAAACACAGACAGGTTATGGCACCTATACCAAATATGTTAGTTGTGAATTCTTCTATACCTGGCTGTAAAATCATAATGAGAATGTGTTCAGACAAAGGATGTCAGATGTTCTTTCTGATATTTATGTCCATATTAAGATAATCCAGGAAATGCAAAAGTTCTTTGGTGTGTATAATCATGGGTTTTGTTGCTTGGGGTAGGGCTGAAGCCTTACACAACAACAGTGTTTTGGATGCCCTTCCTAACATAGAATCTTTCCAGAATATTCGACAGTGGCACTTGTAAATGAGATGGTAAACTTCTTTACTCTGAAAGAATGGCATTTTCTATAAGGTCTTGAGAATTGCACAGCAACCTAGAATTCCCTTGATAGATTCTTTGTGAGAACTGGGTACATTACCACAATGCTAGGACCAGTTTCTCTATTCAGTTTCCTTTTCATTAAATATTTTTAGATACAGGTATCCATTCAACACATATCAGAACTCCTAAAGATTTCATTTTATGGTATCTCAGCGAAATAAAAAAATGTTGTTTGAGCTTCATTTGTATGGATTACCATGATTCTGAGTATATCATTTGTGGTTCATCAGCATAACACTTGAGAACCTGAGTGTGTCTGCTTCTGTATCTAAAGTCTGTGTGCAACTACCTAGCTCTCTGTGTTATCATGGGAGTGTTTTGCGGAGGCATGGATCTTAGTGAAGTGCTCGGATTTAGTTGGAATTGTACCTGTTTGCAATCTATAAGGTTTCTGAATGGAACATGCTCCTCATTAAATACACACATTATAAAAAACTGAATATCATTCTTCACAGACCTTAAAATTATTTTATGAAGATGATAGAGACCCTAAAAGAAGAAATGAGGAAATCCCTTAAAGAAATAGAAGGAAAAAACAAACAAAAAATCCATGAAATGGGGGGAAAATACAAAAGAAATAAACAGATCTCTCAAAGAATCTTGCGAGTACCAAGAAAAAACAATCAAACAAATGAAGGGAACACCTCACACAGTTGAAGGATTGAAAGCTGAAAGAGAAGCAATAAAGAAAACACAGAAAGAGGGCATTCTGGAAATAGAAAAGCTGGGTAAATGATATCACCAATAGTATACAAGAGATAGAAGAGAGAATATCAGGTGTTGAAGACTCATTAGAGGATATACAGTCATTAACCAAAGAAAATCTCAAAACCAACAAATCCATAACACAAAATATCCAGGAAATATGGGACACCATGAAGAAGCCAAACCTGAGAATAATAGGTATAGAAGAAGATGAAGAAATACAGCTCAAAAGTACAGAAAACATAGAAGAAAACTTCCCTAACCTAAAGAAGGATATGACTAAGAAAATACAAGAATATTACAGAACTACAAACAGGCTGGACCAGAAAAAGAAGTCACCTTGCCACATAATAATCAAAATATCAAACATACAGAATAAAGAGAAAACATTAAGAGCAGCTAAAGAAAAAGACCAAGTAACATATAAAGGCAGACCTATCCGAATTACACCTAACTTCTCAATGGAAATGACGAAAGCCAGAAGATCCTCGTCAGATGTCCTACAAACACTAATGGAACAAGGATGCCAGCCCAGACTACTATATCCAGCAAAGCTAACAATTACCATAGATGGTGAAAAGAAAATATTCCAAGACAAAGCCAAATTTAAACAATACATATCCATGAATCCGGCACTACAGAAAGTGCTAGAAGGAAAACCTAGATCCAAGGAAGGTAACTACATTCATAAGGACACAGGCAATATATAATCCCACTTTAGAAAATACTAAAAGAAAAAGTGAGGAGAAACTAAACAAAATACCTTCACTACCAATAAATCAAGCACAAAAAATAATCATCAATCAATGTTCATTAATATACCTCAATGTCAACGGCCTCAACTTGCCTATAAAAAGACACAGATTAGCAGAATGCATAGGAAGACAGAAACAATCCTTCTGCTGCATACAAGAAATATCTAAACATAAAAGACAGATGTTATCTCAGAGTAAAGGGTTGAGAAAAGATTTTCCAATCAAACAGACCCAAGAAACAAGCAGGTGTAGCATTCCTAATATCTAACAAACTAGAAGAAGGTCATTTCATATTCATCAAAGGAAAAGTCCATCAAGACGAAGTCTCAAATTTAAACATCTATGCCCCAAATACAAAGGCACATACATTCAGGAAAGAAACATTACTAAAGCTCAAATTGCACATAAATCTCACACACTAATAGTAGGAGACTTCAACACTCCGCTCTCACCGCTAGACAGGAACTCCAGACAGAAACTTAACAAAGAATCAAAAGAACAAATAGAAGTTATGACCCAACAGGGTTTAACAGACATCTATAGAACATTCCACCCAAATACAAAGGGATATACCTTCTTCTCGGCACCACATGGAACCTTCTCTAAAATTGACCACATAATAGGAAACATAGCATATCTCCACAGATAAAAAAATGGAATAACCCCCTGTATCTTATCAGACCACCATGCATCAAAATTAGATGCAACAATAACACAAATCGCAGAAACCCTACAAACTCATGGAGATTGAACAATGCACAATTGCACCATCCCTGGGTAAAGGAACAAACAAAAAAAGAAATTAAAGACTTCCTCGATTTCAATGACAATGAAGACACAACATACGCAAACTTATGGGATACTTTGAAAGCAGTGCTGAGAGGAAAGTTCATAGCACTAAGTGCCCACATGAAGAAACTGGAGAACAGTCATACTAGAGAATTAATAGCACAGCTGAATGTTCTAGAACAAAAAGAAGCAAACTCACCCAGGAGGAGCAGATGCCAGGAAATAATCAAATTGAGGACTGAAATCAAACAAATAGAAACCAGGAAAACATTGAGAAGAATCAATGAAACAGAGTTGGTTCTTTGAGAAAATGAACAAAATAAACAAACCTCTGTCCAAACTAACCAAAAGACAGAGAGAGAGAGCATGCTAATTAACAAAATCAGAAATGAAAAAGGGAACATAACAACGGACTCTGTGGAAATCCAGAGAATCATCAGGGCATATTTTGAAAATCTGTACTCTACAAAATTTGAAAATTTAAAGGAAATGGACAATTTCCTGGGTAGATATCACTTGCCAAAAACAAATCAAGAGCAGATAAACAATCTAAACAGACCTATAACCCTTAATGAAGCACTCATCAAAAGTCTCCCCCCCCAAAAAAGCCCAGGCTCAGATGGCTTAAGTGCAGAATTTCACAAGAAATTCAAAGAAGAGCTAATTCCAATACTTCTCAAAATATTCCACACAATAGAAGTAGGAGGCTCACTGCCAAACTCTTTTACAAGGCTACAATTACATTGATACCCAAGCCACACAAAGACACAACTAAGAAAGAGAACTATAGACCAATTTCCCTCATGAACATCGATGCAAAAATACTCAATAAAATACTAACAAACAGGATTCAAGAGCACATCAGATATATCATCCACCATGATCAAGTAGGCTTCATCCCAGGAATGCAGTGATGGTTCAACATTAGAAAATCTATCAATGTAATCCACCATATTAACAATCTGCGAAAGAAAAACCCCATGATCATCTCACTAGATGCTGAAAAAGCCTTTGACAAAATCCAGCACCCCTTCATGATAAAGGTCCTAGAGAGATCAGGGATAACAGGAACGTACGTGAATATAACAAAAGCAACATACAGTAAACCAACAGCTAACATCAAACTAAATGGAGAGAAACTCAAAGGAATTCCTCTAAAATCAGGAACAAGACAAGGCTGTCCCCTCTCTCCATATCTCTTCAATATTGTACTTGAAGTTCTAGCTACAGCAATAAGACAACCAAATGAGATCAAGGGGATAGAAATAGGAAAAGAATAAGTCAAGTTTCACTATTTCCAGATG